TCATGTATAGGTATTTGTTATTATCCAGGTAGGTTTCTAAACCATACTGTTGACGTTGTTTCTGTCATTAATTTTAGTAGTAAATGCTTGAAAGAAGTACACCGTTCAGTCGACGTAAATACTTCGAGTTACTGGGTTTGACTGTAATCTTGGGCTGTTTGCCGGAGTTGTCATTAATGGGGAGGATTTGTTATAGAAAGCATATAATCTGTTTATAAAGTCAACTGGTAATGAACATTAAACTAAACGACAATGATATAAACTGACCTTGGGTTCTGTATTATACACAAAGACTGAGACTGATATCATGGACTGAGAGAACAAAGGACAGAGCGTCTAAAGGCATCACTGTTCTATTATTTCTGGTAGCATTAAATGAACTGAAGTTAACGGAACTTGGTTTGAGTGTGGGGTATCTGTCCTACACGTGTAACTGAACACCTGTCTGGATGTGAGGTTTGTTTCTTGCACGTGCAGTGTTATAACAATCGTGAAGTGAGGTTTCTGTCCTAATTGTGAAGTATAACAACCAATCATTAAAGCTTACATACAACGCAAAACACAACTTTGCAGATTTTGATACCTTTCGGTATGGACTTAGAGTAACAAATTATCAAAAATGCAAATTCAACTTATAAAGTTGAAAAAATAACAGGATGAAAACCCCCGCGAAATTGAAGTTCAAACGATTCACTGAAATAACCCCAGCTGGGGTGAAAAGTGGTTTCAACAGCTGTGCTGCGCTGCGCTCATAGCGCATGAGCAGTGAATAGGTTCGCGCGGCTTGAAGCGGGATGCCCGGATTATAAGGTCGTGAGCAGGAGTAGTCTAATCTTGGTTGTGTACAGAAACAACACATAGTAAATAATCTACTCGTTACTTAAAAGAACCTTGTTAAGGATCTAGATCTACTCAGCTATGTCAGACAGACAGACAGACAGACAGGTTTTATTCAGTAATGTAGGCACAGTGGCCCATAGTACAGTTGAATTTTCATTTTAACAAATATTGGTCACGTGACACGAAATTATGGTTTTACATGTGATTTAAGGATGGACATCAAATGTTTTATGAAAATGGCAGCTGATTTAATAGTGTCATCGTTATTAGAATTAAGTATTTTATATATCGTTTGTGGGGCATCATTAAAGCATTTTAGATACTTCTTTCGGCCAGCAGAGAATGCCTCACAGTCTAATAATAAGTGACGTTCGTCTTCAGTTTTACCAGAAGAACAATGAGAACATGATAAATCTTCCAATGTATTTTTATCTTTTCTATAACGCTGTATTTTTAAGGCATGAAGAGAGATTCTAAATTTACAAAGAGATTCTAAATTTACAAAAATTTCAGCTATGTGTTAACCAGTGAGGCGTTTGGTGTTTCAAGACGAGAAACCTTCGCTTGCGGTGAATACTCGGAGTAGGCTTTGATGTGAGCTATTTTTCTAATGTTTTGTTGATATTTCACAGATGCAAGCTTTTTATATGTTATGACAGTAGATTACCGATTTAACTGTGTAAATAATTTCATTTGACTATTTCACCACACGTTCTTCTTACCGAGTCACTTTCTCAGTTCGATACTTTAAAGCAATATCATTATTTAGCATTGTCAGAATTTCTAACTGTGATATAGACACGCCTCTGTCACGGACAAAACTCAATGTCTGTTTTATTGACACCTATGTGTCTGTCTGCCTGTCTGCTAATGACAACATGCAATACACAACTTCGATCACTGACCACATGCAATTTAAACTTAACACCTATCAAGCTATATACGATTAACTTGGTATCTTGAAACCAATAACCTTATAACAAATATTCAATGGGGTTTCAGGAAAACTCGTAGTACCATTGGTCATTTGGTACGTTTAGAATCCTTTGTTAAACATGCTATAGTAAATATACAACATGCTGTATCCATTTTCTGTGATCTTGAGAAAGCTTATGATACGACCTGGAATCATGGCATTTTGAAGGATTTACATGATTTTGGTTTGAGAGTCCGTTTGCCTCTTTTTATATCACAGTTTTTAACAGACAGGCAATTTCAAGTCCGAGTGGGTTCAACCCTGTCTGATCATTATAATCAGGACCAGGGTGTCCCACAAGGCAGTGTTTGTCTGTCACACTGTTTAGCATCAAGATCAATAGTTTATCAACGGTTTTAAATGATTAAATTGATGGATCATTATTTGTTGATGATTTCAATATTTCTTGTCGAGGTAAAAATATGCATACTATTGAACGGCAACTGCAGTTATGTTTAAACAAAATAAATAAATGGTGTCTTGAAAACGGCTTTAAATTTTCTAAATCAAAAACTAATTGTATACATTTTTGTAGAAAATATAAGCCTCATAAGGACCCAGAACTATCTTTAAATGGCACTCCCATCAAAGTTGTAAAGGAGGCCAAATTCTTGGGCCTAATTTTCGATTTCCATTTTACCTTCCTGCCACATATTAAATCCCTTAAAGTTAAATGCCTGAAGGCACTCGATTTGTTAAAGGTTGTCTCCAATTCAAAGTGGGGAGGGGATCAAACTAACCTCCTTCACTTACATAGATCATTGGTGCGATCTAAACTTGATTATGGCTCTATCGTATATGGCGGAGCCTGCAAAAGCAACCTAAAACTACTTGATTCTGTCCACCACCAAGGTCTAAGACTTTGTCTTGGGTCTTTTAGAACCTCTCCTATTGACAGTCTCTACGTCGAGGCCGATGAGCCATCTCTTACCCAACGCCGTATAAAATTGTCCTTGCAGTATATAACAAAACTTTATTCTAACGAGTCTAATCCTGCATTTAACTGTGTCTTTAATCCTCTTTATGAGGATTTGTACAACAAAAAGCCTTCTCTTGTTCCGCCTCTTGGTTTAAAAATTAAACCATTCCTTTCTGCTGCCAGCATTGAGCTGGAAAATATATCTCCTTCTCGTCTTCTTTCTTCTCCTCCTTGGCAAGTGGTGAGGACTGAAGTTGACCTCACTCTGACAAAGTTTAATAAATCTGAAACTAATGAATTACAATATAAACAAGAATATAATCAATTATAAACTAAATATAATACATACAAATCCTTATTTACAGATGGGTCCAAGGACGGTGGCGCGGTGGCATGTGCTACTGTCATTGGATCCCGAACAATATCTTCTCGACTACCAAATGACAGCTCTATTTTCACAGCAGAAGCTAACGCCATATTAACAGCTCTTAAGTATATTAATAAACACCGTAAATATAAACAATACATAATCTTTTCCGATTCTCTTTCGTGTCTTCAGGCTATTATAAATCATTCTTGTAAACATCCACTTTTATTAGAAATTATTGAATTCCATAATGAGCTTGCTACTGGCCAATGCGACATCGTCTTTTCTTGGTTACCCAGCCACGTTGGCATTTCTTGGAACACAATGGCTGATCTTGCTGCTAAGGCAGCACTCAACAAATCTGTGACACCACTTCTTCTTCCATACTATGATTACAAAGCTGCCATTAGATGTGGGACAGCCAAGTAGGTATCAATAAATTACATGCAATAAAACCAACTATCGGTCACACCTACTTGGGTTGTCAGTCCAGATTTGAAGAGGTCATCATACGACGATGTCGTATTGGCCACACAAGATATACTCACGAGTACTTATTAAAAGGTGAGGATCCTCCGTTTTGTATCCCTTGTGATGAACGACTCACGGTCAAGCATGTCCTGGTTGACTGTGTTGAATATTCCATCACAAGGGATATCTATTTCAAATCACAAACTATGAAGGATCTTTTTAGTAATATAAGTTCTCATTTAATTATTGCCTTTTTAAAAAAATTAGACTTGTTAACTGATTTGCAAATAGATACATATTTTATTATTGGTAATTTAGATTAGTAACTGAGATTGTTAGTGGCTGTACCCTCAAAGGGGGTTGAAGTAGCGTAAAATTATTGTCCTCCTGAGAGGGTATGTAAGTCCCAAAACTTTCAAAGTTAACTTTTTGCTTACCCGATTTTTAAACGTAGTATATTTGTTCCTTTAAATTTTGGCTAAACTTGTCCTACAATCGCCAGCTGCTGAAGGGATGGTGTAAACCCAACTAGGGTCCATGCAGGTAGCAAAAGTAATGTAAGTCCCCATGGTTCCTAGTATGGTGATCTACCTTCAGTTGTTGGCGATCTATAGCCCGTTTTTATATTGTTTATTGTCTTCGTAAATAACATAGTTTTACATGTTCATGCTAGTTGATACTCTAGTTATTTTACAGTCCTTCGATGACTGATTATTTAGCAACTTTAATTTATTGTTTATGTAAAACATTTCTCGTCACTATATGGCTGAAATATTGCCGTGGTGACGTTAAATTATAACTCACTCACTCACTCACTCACTCACTCACTCACTCACTCAGGCAATATACACCATAAACAAAACGCATTGATTTATGGCTCGTGCACCTGAGTGCTGTCTCTGTCACATTATGTAATTACACAGACAGGCAGGTGTGATACTTGTACACATGACATGTTATATTATGATCTCTGTTCATTGCAAAATCTTATACACAAAAAATGAGCATGTATTTACAAAACCAAACATCTCTATACACACACAGAGCCCTGAGTGTATCGGCAAATGAACCAGCCAATGAAAGTCCTGTTACACTTAAGTGTACGCCCACCCTCTCTGGCTGGGTTCGGTATCCTGGGTGCTTCGTTTCGAGGAAAGTAAACCCAAGTACAAAATATTGCACTTTTGATTTGCTATTGTACGTTTATAATTTTGTTTATTTGTTTTTTCATGATCAGCAATGTATATTATATGTCATGAATAAATGATAATTGTGTTTTAATTATGTTTATTTTTTGGTTGCATCTAAGCTTTAACACTTGTTATGTAGTTAGATTATGCCTTTCGCCTTAATCAGCAACCCGTCCATGCCATCACCATAATCAATGGAACGCTGCGTGTTGGCTGACGCGTCCCCACACTACATTGCCTTGTCTGCATTAAACGAGGAACGCCGTCGTGTAAAGACGTTCTTGTGTGCATTTCAGTTTGAAGGTTGAACGGCGAGGTTTATCCTTTAGAAATATATACAACGTGACCTTCAGAATGTCACTAGAGGGATTACTATCCACTATCTTTCTCCTTTCCACAGTCACCTCTGGAGTCCCTGCAGTGGTCGTGACAGAAGATTTCACCAGAGTTACGACATGCGACGCCTTTACCACATCACCGTCAGTGACGGTGCTGACACAGACAGAGTGCGCTGTGGCATGTGCCGGACAGGACTGGTGTAAATCATTTTCTGTTACGATGACAGCGCCACGACTCTGCTACCTACACAGTGTATATCTGAAGGCCGGCCTGTGTGAAGGACAATACAAACACTATAATGACGTAAGTTGTTCTCAAACACTTTACAAAGCACAGTTCCTTTAATGAGTGAGTGCTTGAGTTTTGTTTAAAAACGCTCTCTCAAATGAATTAATCTACAGATTTCTGCACTTTTGTAGATTACTTTATTTTTGGCAACGGGCACCATTAATGTAAGAGATGAGGTGAAATTGGGTTTTACGTCGTACTTGAGAACATTTCGCTCATATGACGACGTGCATGCGTGTGTATGTGTATGTGCAGCTGCTTGTACTAGCCCAGACTTAAGCTGGTTTTATAGTGCTAGCTCACTGAGATACCATGCCGCAGTTAAGCATGAATACCCCACTCAGACACATTATACTGACTTCGAGCCGACCAGTCCTTGTTGTACCCATTAATACCGAGCGCCAGGCAGGGACCAACAGTAATGTAAGAGGACGAGAAGGTGACAATGCGACATTATCGCTTTGTGGCTCACTCCAACACCTTTGTAAAGAGATTTTAAATGGGACAATGCCACAGCGTGATATATCTTAACCCTGAAACATTTCCTATAGTCGTATTGCTTTCCTTTGTCACAATCAACATATAGAATCAGGCTATAGATTGCCCCAAAATGAAGGTAGATCGCCAGACTAGGGACCTTAGGGTGAGTGAGTGAATTAATAATTTACGTCACATCGGCAATATCTCAGCCATATCGTGACGAAAACAATTTATACAATAAAAAGTGAAATGAGAACATTTGACATTGAAATGGAATATATGTACGTTATAAAAACCTGTCGACGAAGGACAGTAAAACAACTAGAATATCACAATTACAACTAAAACTAGTGATTTGAGTTAAAACTGATAGCACTATTTGGACAATATAATATAAAAACAGGCCATAGATCGCCAACACCAGAAGGTAGATCACCATACCAGGTATCATGGGGACGTCCAGTACATTTGCTTCCTGCATGGACCCTAGCTGGATTTACACCATCCCTTCAGCTGCCATACACTAAGAACACATATTCTACGATTTAAAACGTGGTAAGATTAAACACACTTTGATTGCTTTGGGACTTACGTAACTTCTGCATAGGTTTTACAGTACTTTAGCCCCATTTGAGGATACAGCCATTAGCAAACTCAGTTACTGATTTGAATCTACCAATATCAAAACATTGATCTATTTACAGACATATTCATAAACTTATGTATTTACAAAAACTTATTATTATACGATAATTAACATTACTAAAAAGATCCTTCATAGTTTTTTACACTACATGTTGATCCTTTATGATGGAAAAATCAATACAGTCAAGCAAGGCATGCTTAATCGTGATCTTTTCATCACAAGGGTTTCAAAATCGATGATCCTCATCTTTCAATAAATATTCGTATGTATATCTACTGTGGTCAATCAATCAATCTTTATTTCATACGGAAAGGCCACAGGCCTGTAGTACGTTGTTTAATCATGTGCGGGTAGTAGAACATTCTTTCTGAGAATAAAAGCTTTATGGATATATATGGACAACCTTTCTAAATGTGTTTTACTGGAATTATTCATCAATGATATAAACTTATGTGTTTCAGGATGTACATAATAATATTTCTTTATATATCTATTTCTTAACGATAAGTATGCTGGGCAAACACATAAAAAGTGAAACTCATCTTCGACCTCGTGTAAGTTGCACATTTGGCAGATTCTACTTTCTTTCTCAATACCTTGGTATCTCCCAGTTTCAACGTATAGATCATGCGCGGAGCAGCGGAATCTCGCCAATGAAGATTTATATTTCCTTATGGTCAAGACTGAAAGATAATGTTCTGTATATATGGAATCTTTTATCATTTTGTAGTAAAAACATTTATTAGATAATGAGAGACTAGTTAACCAATTTTGAAGGAATATATCTTTAAGTCTTTGTTTAACTGTACAGACAAAGTGAGAATGAGATTCTACAAATTGTTCATGCCAGGCATTGCCGAAGCCGATAGATGATAATAACTGTTTTATGTCTGTTACCCAATTACGTTTCCCATGGCTATCATATAGTATCATCATTTCATAACATTTTCTTGGCAATCTGTGTGAGGGCATTGTTAATAATTTCAACCAATATTTAATAATTTTTACATTTGATTCTATGTACAATGGATATCTTCCACATTCTCCGTAGACCATACAAGTTGACGTGGCTGTTTTTACGCCCAGAAATTTCTTGCATGCATACAAATTGACTTTTTCTATAACATCAAAAGTTTTAAAACCCCATACTTCTGCACCATATAACAAAATTGGGTATATTTTGGCGTCAAATATTTTGCAAAAGACTTGTAAGACAAGTCGCCTAAAATATGTATATATTTTGTTATACCTATTAATATTTTCTTTGTTTGTACAGCTGCCTGTGATGTGTGTACTGCCCATGAAAGATGATTGGTAAAATGCACACCTTAGTATTTATACGAAGTGGTTGTTTCCAGTCTATTTCCCTTGAAGAACCATTTTTCATTATTGGCTAGCTTACCTCCATTTTTAAAAACAACTATCTTTGTTTTAGCCTGGTTTACAGTTAGTTTCCATTTATCACAATAATTCTCTAGTTAAATAATCTCTCTTTGTAGGCCTTTAATTGTGCTTGAAAACAATATGATGTCATCGGCAAATAGTAACAGGAATATTTGTATTGTATCTGGATGTAATTGGATACCGTTTGGACAGTTTTCTTGGATTTGGGTTGCTAGTTCATTTATGAAAAATGTAAATAGAAAAGGGCTTAATATACAGCCTTGTCTGACTCCTAATTGGCTCAGAAATGTATCTGATAATTCATTATTACTCCTTACACAAATTTTCACATTTGCATATATGCTCCGCAGTAATTTTCCCATTTTGCGACTGACACCATGCTTGTCTAAGAGATTCCATAGTTTGTTCCTGTTTATTGAATCGAACGCCTTGGAAAAATCTACATCTTTTGTCCCTTTTGATTAAGATATTTCTGAATAATAGAATGTAAAACAAATATGTTATCAATAGTAGTGTATCCCTTCCTAAAGCCAGCTTGTGATTCTGTTATCTTGTCTAGAGTATCTGCCCATTTAACTAACCTCTTATTTATGGTAGATGTAAATATTTTGCTAAATATGCTTAATAACGTTATGCCCCTATAAGTTTCAGGATTGTTTACGTCTCCGTTCTTATGTATAGGAACTATTATGCCAGTGGACCAGGATTTTGGGAAGTATCCCTTTTCCAAGATGATATTAAATATCAGTTCTAAGTGTGGCAATAGTAAATCTGTAGAGTGTTTAAAAAATTCAGAGATGGTAGAGTCTATACCAGAAGATTTATTAGCTTTTAAGTTTGTGATATTATGAAGTATTTCCTCCTTAGTAATTGGTGAGTCAAGAATATCTTCTACGAAGCTTGGACTAAAATCAGAACAATCAGAATTGTTCACTTCTGTGTCAGACTGGTCACGTAATGCACTGTCCCGAGTGGGAGAACAGGTCACTGAAATAATTGTACCAATCTTCAATTTGTATATTATTTGTTTCAGCATAGACCAGAATGTTTTTGAATCATTTATACAATTCTCTAATTTTTGTTGTTTTACCTTAAAAGATTCATTTCGCTTTTGTCTACAAAGTGCATGGTATGCATTCCTACTGCGGTGGTATTTTTCTAGAGTGTCTGCGTCTTTCGATGTCCTAAATTTGTTTAAATATCTACATCTTTCTTTTTTAAGTTTCCTGCATTCAGTATCGTGCCATGGATTTTCATATTGTCTACTGGTGTGATTTATTTTTTTCATGTCGCTAGCAGCTATGCAAAGAGCTTCAGTTATCAAATCAACACTTCTATCGATATCAGTAAATGCTGAATCCAGAGACTCACTAAGTAGTCCTTGTACATTGTCTGAAAGAATATTTTGTCTAAAGTGGTCTAATTTATCCTGTTCCCAAATAAAACTAAAGGATTTCTTTTCATTGTATTGGGGGTACCCATATGAGTGAAGCGCACGTAAACACAGAGTGAGAGGTAGATGGTCAGATTCTGTGCGGGACGGGATTGAAAAGTCACGAACAGTGTCAAACAGTGATGACGACGCTATAGCATAGTCTACTACACTCGGGCCATTAGCACCAATATAAGTAGAATCACCTACTTCCGCATCCGATCCACATCGACCATTCATTATGTGGATATTCAATACAGAGCACAAATTGAGAAGGCACTTCCCAAAATTATTTACAATTTTATCAGTAGAAAATCTCTTGATGTTAAAATAGTCTATAAGAAAATCCCACATTGAGCTTTCTCCACCTTCTGTGTATTCAATAATGTCATCTTCAACAAAGTCTAGAAATACATTTTACAAAATCAATATCTCCTAACTTGCTTGATATACCTGCGATGTTCCAGAAAGTAAAGTTAACCTCATTTTTAATGTCAGTTGCTTTATCAGTCTCATTGGGATTTTTGTGATGCGTCGTAAAATTACCCTGGCCTAACCCCTATCTCCTCTGCCCCCTGTCCGGAGGGTGCGGGCTTGACCTCAGTCCCCGACGCTTGTGCTGTTCCCTGGGAGCTCTAACCCTGTCTGTGGGTGTTGACTGGTCATCACGATTAGAATTCTCCTTGGGCTCCTTGACAAGTTTATTCTCCTTAAAATAGTATCTTGTGTCAGGGTTCTCCGCCTGGAGACGATGTAGCTCCTGTCGTTGGTAATTGGTGAAGTCGTTGGCTATGCCGTAGCCATCCTCTCGTAGCACCTCCCGCATCTTTAAAGAGTGCCATTTATCTTCCCAATGGCACATCCTGACGATTATGGGTCTGACCTTATCCTGTTTTGGGGGAGATAGTCTGTGGGCTCTTTCAATATCTCTGGGGGTGAGGGGCTGTAATTTCTTAACTTCTCTTGCCTTGTTGAGAATCTCGAGAACTTTTTTCCTTACTCTCGGTGTAGGTTTCCCGTGTTGACTCTGGCACCCCATATATTGCCATGTTG